GTGCCGCAGCCCTTTTCCAAGTATTCCACTCCACTGGAATTCAAATAGAATACAAAAACAACAATGGTGAAACACAATAGCATTCCAAGTATGTCATCGTGGCAATCGGGTTCTGCTTGATTGTTTTCGTGTCCCTTCAAAGCACTCCTGTTTACTATATCGTATGTTTGAAAGGAATTAAGGAAGCAGATGTTAACAAAAAGCTCACACATCGAGTTGCTCACAGTTTCGTATAGAAATCAGTAGACCTTTCATCGTGTGCCTTTCATGTGCGACAACAAAATTCACAGCGAAGAGCTCGCTTTTTCCTGGATCTATGATGTAAATACATATACCTCTAGAAGCGCTTGTGAAACAAAACTATGTACTCAACCTCCTACCGTAATCCTCTATTTCTTTGAGTAATGTCGTCTAGTTTACTGCCAGTATCTCTCCTTTTTAAGGCCGATGTCAGACTGCGAATCGCGCGATTCGCTAGCTTCCGCGGTCGCGTTGCGGTACCAGCCACGCGACAGCAGACGCAGCGATTCGCGCGATTCGCGAAGTCTGACATGGCCTAATTTTCCTACTCTTCTTTTGTATTTAAAATATTTCAAAACATCAGACAAGTCCTGCGAAGGGTTTTGAAGACAGCAGCTCCTAAACGAAACTTAGCCACGGCTGTTAGTGAATCTGTTTTTATTAAGTAGAAATTAATTTTGCTGATTAGTGAATTACTGGTGAGTAAGAGATTTGGCAAAGAGACAACATGAACATAAAATCAGGGGATTACGGTAGTGCGCTGCAGCAGTAGCGTTGGCCTACTTTGAGGCTTAACAGCTCCAACACCTTTTGAGCGGTTACTGTTTAAGCTTAATTACTTAGCTCTCACTTGTTTTGTTTGTTAACTGCTGAATTAACAATTGCTAAATATTATCTGTAAGCTGAGAGCTGATTAATTGTCAAATATTTTCTGTAAGCTTCTCAATTTAGTGATAATATTCAGTGATTGTCGCGATTTGTCAAAGTTGCACTTGACTTCACATTTTCACTCTCATTTCCTTTATTTATTTTTATTTATTTATTTATTTTTATTTATTTATTGTCGCGTTCCTTTTCGGGTATACGGAAGTACCATGGTGGATCGGCTTGCCAGAATCCTGGTTTACCCTCAAATTCGGTTTTTGTTTTCGCTCTATTTCCTAGATGGAAAATTAAGGCGGTGATTTGATAAATCTGCGTCATTTGCTGTTCGCCGCCGTGCTATTGACAGTAATCGATCAATAAACATCAGATGTGTAGGCATAGCCGTATCCAGCCCTTTCACTTAGGCTAGGGTTAGAGAATGTCTCGATTTCCGTCTTATCAGCAGGATCGCGGAAAGGGGCCAAGTTGAAAGTTTGGTAAGTGTGTGTAAAGTATGTACGTACGGAGAGTGATGAAACTATTGAAAACCAATGAACTTAAAGGCACTTGCCTTCCCCTGGCCCGGGAAGGAGTGGGATACGGCCCTAAAATGAGCGAAAGCGGCGCAAACTCTTTTTGTCGGTCCTCAACTCATTATATTGGGTCACAGGTGACCAGGCTTATTCCGTGCAGCTGCTATGTCGCTAACAATCGCATTTAGCTCTTGAAGGCTTGTCTGGCTCATATTCAGGTAACTCAAGCGGACCATTGATAAGTAGAGATGCTGAATTAAAGAGGTTCACTCCAACTCTCGGATGATTCAGCTGGATAAGACGAGCTCTAGTTGTTAGCTGGAATATTAGTGATTATATGTCTTACTTCTTCAACACTAGCGACCTTTTCTTTCTAGAAACTCTTAACTAATTATATAGGATAGTGCGAATCTCGCCATTTCCAAGCCACTCATTAGGGGGCGACATGTCCTTGCAAAACACTGTTTAAATCTGCAACTCCTTCAGACGTGTGGCTTTGAAAAGAACTTCGATTCCGGGGAAACACTTGCCTTCCAGACGTTTTCCCGACAGTCCTACTAGCATTGACAGAAAATCACCTGCTGATGGCGACGTCGAGTCAGCCCGTTAGTCGAATGTTTTCAGCGTTTCTAACGATGTTTTTCGCTTGCTTTCAGCGTTAATGGCTTATTTGCTAGACAATTCTTGCAATTATGGTGTCATGTCATTGTGTGCTCATTACCGTCGCCTATTTGCCACCTCTGGTGTGCTTTTGCTTACTTGTGCACAACAAGGCGAAATTACCTCTTAACAGCGTACACTGCAAAAACCCGCCCCGATCAAGATCGAGCATCCCAGTGTGGCATTAGGTCCATCTTGTACTTTGTACACAGCATTTGACCCTTTTGAGCTGATCTCGTAGTGGAGTCAGTGCCTGCGGAAAATCGGATCGCTACCAGTCTAATTACTCTTGACGCTTTACTCGTAAATTAGTGAACAACATAACTCTCACTGTTTACAAGACCATGCCCCAAAGATGATTATGAATTTGTAAATCAATGCGCCATTCCTTAGTCGCTCTTAGAACAACTGAAGCCTTGTTCCCCGTTAGAGCGAGTGGTAAATATCTGAAATGTATTAAAGGACAGATGTACTAACTCAACATGGTTTGGTTCGTTGTAACTACATTAAACATAACTATATCAATTGTACGTGGCTTCTTGAACTTCAGACTGTTGTATTTCCTTCTTACGCTGGGGCATTCCGTTTCTCTTTCCAATCTTTGCCATGTTTGAGCATGGACTGCCTTAATGCTTTTAAACCAGGGTATTTTAAGCACCTACTTCGCGATCTACATCGAAACCACCGTGCATGCATTCGGTAACATGCCGTACCATCGACAAAGAGTAGGGCCACTTTATTGAATGGTAACAATCCAATAGATGCTTTCTAGATAATTTCAAGGCTTAGCCACGATCTGATAACTTTACTCTGCCCATTTCTACCACCGCAATCCATTGGTCCATTTTCGAGTGCCTCTCTGACTCTCGACTCGCATAGCGCGTTTTGGAAAGGACTGATCTACGCCAAGAATTGAACTTTGTTACATTGATTGAACCTCTTGCAAAGGGAGCAACATGGCGTTTTTATGCCTTATTCCGTATGATCAGGGAGAGCGTAACAGGCGATCACCGTCGCGGTGTGCGGCGCCTCCGATCGCGCGACGGAAGGGATCACAGACGTGTAGACGATATGGATGACGTTCACTCTAATGCTTGCAGCACGCTGCAACTATTCTTTGGCCTTTTGTGTCTTCTTGCGCGCGAATGCGGCTTGTGCCTGTGATGTCGCCAGCTCACTACGCCACTCCAGTTTTATTTTGGTTTTATAGACTGATTTTAGTAAAATCCATGCTTCCATTTTCTGCAGCAACAGAAGTGGTGTAACATCATGCTTCAATCTTTGCCCAAGAAGCTGGTAGCGTTCTTGATGGGCCGATGGCTACGGCTGTGGATGGTGATGTTGACAACTGCTGTTGCAAGGAATGTGTACAGTGAATCTTCGGGAAAATTTCATCTATGTAAGTGAGAAGTGGAGCGTTTAAAAGGTGCCCACTCTCTGAACAAAACAGTGTAGGTCCGTGAATGAGCTATTTACAGTTATTTGCGTTAGTCCAATTTCTTACACAGCTCTTACATCATGACATATTAAAACAGTCGCGACTACGGGGATGGCAGTAGCAGAGAGGTCAGAGATCTCTTCTTCATAAATTGAGTAGAGGAGATTTCCTGCCACACTGCTTGACGGTATGACGATTTCTTTCTAGAAAAGAAAATTCAAATTTATTGAACACGGCAACCACCGGTGGATACCATTTTTCCGCGTGAGATCTTTGGCAGCCACTGGTGGCTGCCATTGTGACGAATGGTGTCGCGATCAATCGCGACTTTCTATGCGATGTAGTTCATTCCTTTCATATCTGATGGGAGATTTACTTTGTTGTAATGTTTTGGCGCATTTAAGCCCTCTGAGATCTCCTCAGAGCGCTTTTTGCTACGGTGTAAGGATAAAGTGGTGAGTTAAGATCGTGTTGTTGAACCACCGAGGAACAGTTTGGTGCATCGGCCAGGAATTGAACGGGCATGGCAGACGAGCATTCTAGCCACTGAACCACCGATTAAGGAGCGTCGCTCATTTCTTAATTCTGAGCATTTCGAAAGCAGTTCGAGCTTGTCGTCGCCCACGATCTCTTGAATGTAGCTGTTTCACCGCGACCAAAATGCAATACAATTCTTCCTAGACTAAAAAAAACAATACATTGACGAAGGAAGGCGAAATATTGTATTGTACTGCGCTCACCGAATTTCTTCAAATTGACACTTTCGTTTTCACGTGTTCTCCCAGTTCGCTTCCGTTCATGCCTTGCTACAAACTAAATTCATATATAAAGGATTTACGCCTACCTTGATCCAATTGTTCCAGATACGGCCTACGTTCGCCTCTTCGGTGTTTGTGGCGCTATTTGAATGTGTGCTTGGTATGTGCCAGACCACTCAACTAGCAGTTTTCCCCTTTTCCCTTACTTAAGGACATGAAAGGCGAATGCAGTCATGGCTTACTTCCGCTGTGATCGTGTGGGAAAAATGAAGCCAAACCACTACTCCCTTTCCTTTGTTTTCTCCTCCTCGAGTATTTTTCACTGCAAGATTTTGTTGAAACCTGAGTGTTTTCCTTACAGTGGCCAGCTTATGCATATGAATACCGCTTGTTCTCCGAAATGACTGCCAGTCTGTGCAGAATGGTATAAGTTATTCTATCGTGACCGAAAAAACTTTGGTAAGGAGCTCGAATGGATATCCCGCGACCAAGCTTGCTAGGAGGAACAACCTCCTCCGCATGCCTTTATTTAGGCCAATGCGTGCGGTGAGATCTGAACAAAATTATTCGCTGTTAATATGTTATTGAGTTAGTTGGTGCTTCCATGCTTATTATTCGATCGCAATGGTTTGTGGAAGAGAAGTTACGGGGACACTTTGGAACCTCCATTGCAAATGCTATCGGCATCCTATTTGGGCCTGAATTTCAGAACTTCTGCGTGATTGCATGGCGACATTGCAGTGAGGTGCAAACGACGATTTCCATCGCGTTAACCCTTTTTTGCCATTTTTCCGGCAAATTTTCCGAAGAATAGCCAACGACGGAAGTGACGAATGGCTGAGCTGGCCTGAGAAAGGAGCAATCCTCTGGAATGCGCCACCATCTACTTCCTCTCGTTGATTGCTACTCGCCGATAGTTGTTTGCTTCTCACGTTAGCTTCAAACATTTCGTAATGAATTCGTTTCTATTGTACGCGTCACGTCACTTTGACGACATCCATCATCGTGTGATGCTTGTGAAAGAATCCTTCCTCGGTTAAATTTTTCTGTTTTTTCTTTACTTTCCTTTATTTTTTTTTATTTTTTCACCTAACCTGTTTTACTTTTAACAGTTTTATCAATTTGGAATGGTAGGGATAGCCCAAAGAGTTTTCAAGGCAAAAAGCAATCTAATAATCAATTAAAAATCGATGAGTAACCCTAACTGGTAGCACAATGGAAGATTATGAAAGCGGAAAATTTAACCTACAGTAGAGATTGAACCGAATTTTTGGGAAAGAGAAGCGGAGAGGAGTGGAAGCGGACTCTATCTCAGGTATTTGACTACAACGGTGACACGAATTCAACGCTGGGTTTTTGATGGACAGTTTTTTCGAAATCGTCATTGTAGTACCATCGGACCTTGAAATTCAAAAAACCTCTTTTGGTTCCATATTATTTGATTACTATTTCATTTTCTTTTGTGCTAGTTTTTTGGACGAAGTTCGTAGAAGTGTCGCTTGATTTTCAACTGCTCATTGACACAAGAGGTCGCTACATAATAGTGCCACAGACGAGAAATTCAAATGGTTGTTAATAATATTGATTTTTGAATGTCATTATGATGCAATCAATATCTCATTCTGATTCAAGCAAGTGTGTGACACTACACATGCGTATGCTTTCTCTGTAATTTTCGGGATTATTCCCGCTCCTCCTTATCGTGATTTCTCGGTTTTCAATTTCCGCTTTCCACCCAAATAGGTGCTAATTACTGATTATTCTTTATTTTAGAGTCCTATTGCAGGTACGTTCCGTCGTGTTGGCTTGTTAGTACTTTGGTTGCGTTGTAGCGTTGTATTTAAAACGAATGTAAGTTTCAAGCATTTAAGCCATACCTTGTACATTTATCAAAGTATTGATGAAACATCATAAAAATATTGATTTTAGAAAAAAGTATAAACACGAGCAAGCGTTGTTTCGACAATCGCAAATGGGCTATCCGAATCCACCTCCTCTCCGAAGTACGTTGACGTCATGCTTTTTTAATTAAAAATAATCAATAAGTCTTCAAGCAAACAATAAAATTTATACCTTTTTTGACACAATTAGTCGTAATTACATTGTTGAATAATTTAGGTCCGATTCCCAACGAACCATATCCAATACTTCACCTGCCAAACTACGCCAATTCCGGAAGCATGCGAGATACCGTAATCACGATAGATGGTAAGCATTTCATTTTCCGCTCGAGATATTCACTGCGTAACCTTCAAATCGTCTACGAAAGTCAATCCTTTGTTCTGATTTGTTTAAAATATTTCTTTCTCTGGTTGCTCCTTGTAGAATAAGTCTTCTAACAAAAACAGTGAAATAATGGAATTGACGTTCTTGTATGCATCGGCAGTTTCATAGCAAAATTTCTTGGGTAAACCAACTGGGGGGGGCGGCCACAAGCCATTTGCATATTGTACTGTCCAAGCAACGTTGTGCACTTTTGGGAAACTCATAGAATAACAATCGATTGAGAGAGGGGGGTTCAGTAAATGATGTGTACAGTCATATAGTGATTGTTCTTTGGCGGGAATATAGGCAGATGCGACGGACATTTTGCGTAAATATAAATAAATGATAATGATAAAATTATCTCCATCTATGCTTGAAAATGACAGCGAACAACTTTGAGTATTACGCCATGCGTACGACTTCTTTTCAAAATCACGAACGCACAGTCTCAATAAAACTAATGTTTGCACCGGAGATCCCTTCCTCGGTGTACCGCTATCAGCTGAAAGCATCACTTTTTGGCTAAATATGATCAGGAAAACAATCGAAAAAAAGCAAACAATCGCCCAAACAATGGTGTGAAGAGTCGTTCCTAACCAAACCATTTCAGTTTCTGTCTGCTTTCTTAAAACTTTTTCCCCGGTGTTTTCCTCTAGAGTTCCAGCTGGTCTGAATTTGAAAATCCTTCTCTTTCTACTACTTGTATAACACTTTTCCGGTTTCCGTTTTCCGAAATGTCCACTTATCCGGTTTGAATTGCTGAGCCTAACGAAGTCGATGCGTAAACATAGAGTAATAAAGAGAATGAAAAAACAAGGGAAAAATATCCAGGAGAGAAAGTATAATAAGCGAAGTAAAGGCTATACGTATAACTATAATCTTATGTCAACTTTTTCAGGACACCTTCAACGGCAATACGAGTGGCAATATGAGAACTTTCCCGTGCCAAATCAAGTCTTTTCGCCACGGCGCTATGAGCCACCACCACCGTATCCCGGCGAGAACAACAAATCCACTCACATCTAGCTCAATGCCGTCAAAACGTGCCTCAAGCCACCAGATGCCCCAGCTGCCAGCGTTCAATTAATTCATGACGTCACCATATCCATTTGCTGGACTTTTTTGCTCACTTCGATTTTTACTGCATATATGTGTAATCATTATGTCGCCCATGATCAATAATGGCTCAATGATCCTCCAGATTCTCAGCCTTTTTCTGCTGATTTGGAAATAATCGCCATCAATGTGCTTAATTTGTAGAATAGTTGCATCAGAATCTTCTGGATCTCATTCATGTGCAAATTTACGGGTCCAATCCGCGCGGTATTTGCTCCTCATCTGACGACAAACGTTCAGGTGCCCTTCCGGTCAGAATGGCCTTCATGACCGTACGACTTTCAGTGTTTCGTAGGTCAACTGTGATTGTCGGAGGAAATCTTGCAGAGTTTTGTAGATATTGTATGAATTTAATAAATATATGTTCTAAATATATCACTGCTTTGCAAAACTATGATGGGATATACGGTATTTACCTAGGCTAATTGGATTGATAATTTCTAAATTTATTTTTTCATGTGTTTTGTTGCTATTGCACAAATGAGGTGACGGAATATGCAGAAAAAATATGAATGGCAGCACAACAGGATATTTAAATAGCAGCAGCACATGAAAAATTCAGGTGAAACTCCAGTTCGGGGGGGGCACTCCATTTTTTCTCCAATACTCAAGATAAGGATTAGAGGGCTCACGACACGTAATCGACTCATTTAAAGTAGACTTCTGATAAATATTGGTGTAATGGGTGAGAAACCCTGAAACGTTTTCACATTTCCGCCTGCCATGACCCAAGGGAACGGTCCTGGACCAGGAGAAAGGACACCTCCGCAAAGGGCTAAGGGTGCAGGAGCTCCAGGGTGGATCACCTGTGCAGAAAAGTGGATGGGATGTGGGCAGGTAGTGTGGAATGTAGGACATCCACCGGTCCTTATCAAAAGTACGCTCGAAATGAGTCGTTCACTTATTATCTTATCCGTAGTGTTCGATAGCCCAAAGAACTGCTCTCTAGTACTACGGATAAGATAGCAATGGAGTGCCCCCCCCCCCCGAACTGGAGTTTCACCAAAATTCATTTTAATGGCTATAATTTCATAAGTATAGCATAGATATTAGGGAAGGAAGGAAGACCTCTGAACAGTTATGGTACCGGAGAGGGGCGAAAGGGGTCATCTAACAATAAGAGTGGAGGGCATTGGCTGGCCAATTTGAAATAGTGCCAAAACACTGACCTGCATGATGAACTTCAGGGATCACCAAAAGCCTTGCAAAGATAATCTAATCTCTTTCTTGACGGCCCATTTAAGTGCAGCATTCATTTACTAAGAATGCAGAGCCCCATGTAAGCTGTACCCATGTAAGCTACCCAGCAGAAGAGTGACAACACTCCCAGAATTCCAATGTTCTGAGAAGGTCAAACAGAAAAAACAAGTCTAGGTTACTACTTCCTGCTGTTTTTGTCGTCCTTTCTCAGTTGGTCTTACTTCCATGGAAAATCTGAAACATCTTTGCCAGAGACGTCATGCCATTAACCAGGCACCACAAAAGCTAAAATAAGCAAGCCTTGAAGCACAGAAGTGATTCGATGGTTGAAGGCTATCCGAATTTTTCAGGAGGGAGGAGCCATGTGTAATTAACTCGTTCACGTCTACCACTAATCTTTGCAATCTTTTTTTTTCTTAAAGTGACATTATTATTATGAAAAGGTGAGAAAGCCAAAAAATATAATAGCTCTAAAAAACTAGAAAAAAGGTGATTTCACCAGAATAGGGTTACGAGAGTTATTGTTGGGAAGGAACCTGACAGTGATGTAAAAAATGCATCCTCTGCATCAAAAATTCCCAGCTGTCTACTTGTGAAAATACCGAATGCGAGGGAGACGTTGTAATGAGGAAACTCACTGTATAGTCCTTCATTGTATAGGTTCTTCCAATCGTCACTGTTCCGGTCCGAGCCTAGCCGGTCACAGGTGCTACTCGGGCTATTTCAGAAACGACAGTGGCCAGTGTGTTGCAAGTGTGCAAGTAGGCTCGGTGGTCCATCTTGGAAAAGAATCACACTATTTCGTCAGTGTCAATCAATTAATTCACTCTCCATTCCTTTTGCCACTTTCGAAAAAGTTCGGTCTGAATGTTCGCACATGACGTCTATTTCCAGAAGTTCCACTGCATCGCACGTCGTTATTCTGTTCAGGGGCGAGAACTAAAACTACCATTACCGGTATTTACTTCTAGTGAAATAGGGGAGTGATCTTTGATAAGTTGTAGGTGACCCTGCGAGTACCCGACAGGAGGCCCGTCGCGCGGCAAGAAGGCAGAGTCAGCGGACGAGTCGCAGCGCGTACTGTAGTGATTTCGCGTCAAGTTAAATAGAATGTACCATTGTACGTCCTACATCGCACATCACGCGCTGCGACTCGTCCGCTGACTCTGCCTTCTTGCCGCGCGACGGGCCTCCTGTCAAGGTACCCGGAGCCCTGCGAGTTCGATTTCAATCCCTACAGAAAATTACTAGTTTCCACAGCGAGTAGCATTGGACAAGCTTTGCCCGGGAAGAACACATCAAACAACGATCCACGACGAAGTCATGTATGTCAATCCATCCTGTAAGCAGAATCGAGCTGTAGCTACTACAGAAGTGCCATGATCCGGCTCAAAAGTACGCGACAAGGGCGCGGCTACTTTAGAGACGTAGGGTCAGTGGGAGCATGGAACCTCATTTCCAGGAAACTCGAACGGTGACGCCTTCTCCCTACCCCAAGGCGAGAGAACCGAAACTTTGTTGAACCTTTAGCTATTTTTTTCTTTGTGAGTCAACTCCCCTCCCCCATCACTATTGCGCGCTGTTACATGACCAACATGATCGCGGGTTGTTTCTCCACAAGAGGAACCACTGCTATTATCACGGGGCAAGGAAATAGGAAACACTGGACGCATAATGAGAACTCCTCTGAGTTTTCCTTGCAGGTGAGGGATGGATTTCCATTTTTTATGCTTGTGTTCGTAGCGGTTGATTTGTGTAGGAATTAACTTGATGATTTGAGAGGTTGCAGAGCCGCCGGAAATTCCTTCGAGTAATTGGCCATCTCTCATATTTGCAGTCCTGATAGAAAACAAGAATGAGTCAGACTTGAACATAGCTCATTCCCATAAACGAACCAATCGCAGCCTGTGTTAGATGTTGACTGCATTAGGACGTCGAATGCGACCTGCTTCTCTGAACTCTGGGGCCGTAAGGTATGCTTCCCCGAAGGGTTAGGGGACGAAAGTTCCTTTAAATTTTCTCTGTAGTCCCAACTGGGATTGTCCTGATAAAGGGCCTACATCTAATATATGTGTGTAGCTTAAAGTGCATGCATTGAAAATAAAGAAACAGTATCGTTCAAAACAAAAAATTTAAAGGGACTTTCGTCCCCGCAACCATTCGGGGAAGCATACCTTACGGCCCCTGGCAGCAATCACTAACCCAAGAAATGTCTATATGGCCAATTTGATTCATTTTCTCAAGGAATTTTGGACACAAATCACTGTCTCTTCTTGACTTTGGCTGCATCCGGTTTCTTCAAGAAGCCCTTGTACTTGGATTCCTGTTGGAAATTATCTCTCAACTTCTCAGGTGCCCCTACACGACGCTATAGTGAGCTCAAGTGCTCCACCAACGCCTAGCAAAGCCTCCATGTACCACCCCCTCTGCGACATGTACGGCTCAGCTCATAGTAAGTTTCGCCTTCGTTTTTTAAGCAATTTTTTGACCCGAATCTCTGCCCATTCAAATAGATCCTGAACGATTGGCTGCTAGTTGCACAGGATGTCTCTCCAAACCGGTCACCAACGTGTACAATGATTGAACTGCATATAAGAACAGCCTTCCCAGCAAACCATTTACGAAGTACTTCGACGAAGGGCTGTATTTCCTGGTCCGGCCTAGACTGTATTTCGAAATATTTCAATACTCACTTAATGAACCACATACTTCTCGATCCGATGTGACATAGCAGGCGACTACCGAAAATATTACAGGCGTGCCCCAGGATCACATTGCTGTGGATCTTGCACACGAATGTGAATTTATTGTGCGGCATAGGCCGTCGCCAAAACGGAGCAAGGAAAAAGCGTTCGAAAGACCGAACGTCTAATGGCTCACTCCCCTTCCTAAAAGGCTGTGCTATGGGAAAGAGAGAATAAGCGCGGAAATGAGAGTATGAGGAGAGAGAGCACTGCGGACGGGTGTTCCCTGGGTGCGTGACGATTCAATCGTGGCGGTGGCTAGGTCGCCGCGCCAGCCGCCGCAGCCCGCGACGATGCAGACGCGAATGCGACGTCGACCTGTCTGCTAGAATTTAGGGTTCTAAGCATAGGAAAAAAGGTCACCTGACTGCCCAGTCGTGTAAACACGGTATATTGAATCACCTGCCCTCCTCAAAATATGGGCCTTGGTACCTCTGCGACTAAAATCTACGAACTATTTATTTCGGTCATCACTTGATTGTGCTATTGCCTGCTCTCTCACGTTTCCGTCTGCATTCTTGGAACGCTAATTTTTAGCGCAGGACTATTGCTCTCTCAACAATTCAGGCAGCTTGACTTATAAAGAATGCCTCATTAATTTCAAAAAGATACCTTCACTGAAAAAGCTCCGTAACATAAGGTTCAGAATACACTAATATCTTACATGGCAAAACTCCGACAGTTGAGGTTAACACAAACTTGATTTTCAAAGTGACTCTTGTTGGCTCACTGATGTCTGAAACTTTGTTCTTATCAGTCTCTGACCCCACCAGCAACTTATAGACAAGGACCGTTAAGCCAAGGCCCATACAAAAATCGCCGCACCATTTGCCGCGCGCGACGCTGCCCGCCGCGTGGCGGCGTGACCTCATTAGCCGACGATTGAATTGACCGTCTCCCGTATGCCACTAGACAACAACCTGATATGAGAAAAAAACCCTGCAGCTTCAGCAGCTTTTTATTTAT